GTCAGAAGTCACAGCCCAGATATGAATGTCAGCAATAGGGGTGATCTAGTACAAAGAAAGCCACAATAATTCGATGGGAAGGCACCGTGTAAAGCATATAGAGCACAATTTGAGCTCCTGTCAGAGATGAATAGATGGACAGAGGAGCAAATAGCAGTGTACCTGGCAACGAGCCTGAAGGGACAACCACTAGAACTCAGGTATGGAACCCAAAACCAGTTTGAAGTCTACAGAGCTAGGTTTAGGACGAGAGTCCGTGCTAAAGGGGAGAGCATGTAAGAGCTGGCACAGGATTTGGAAAGTATGGCACACAAGGCCTACCCAACTGCACCACCCAATCTCCTCAAGTTGTTGCTGAGGAATCAGTTTGTAGATGCCTTGGACAGTCCACAACTGAAGATACAAGTAAAGGAAGCACACCCCTCTACCATGCAGGATGCAATGGCCAGAGCTCTTGAATTCGAATCCTACGTTAAGTCCAGCACAAAGGTACCAAGGTTGGTACAGTCATCAGGATTCAAGGCCAGAAAAGGGCAGCTTTCAGAGAGGTGTGAGGGACTTTGCTGGCACTGTAACAAACCTGGGCACAAGAGAGCTCAGTGCTGGAAACTTCAACACAGGGAAGATGCCACGGCAGGAAAGGCTGCTACCTAGAAAGGTTGTTGGAACTGTGGAGAGCGAGGACATATGAGGAGCCAGTGTAAGAAGAATATTATCAATAAGTCAGCCTTAAGGAAACCAGTAGTGGTATGTGTTGATGGACGCCTACCAACCCCAGTTGTGAAAGTCCCAACCTCTAAGTGTAAAATGCCAAGCATATGTAGTGTCTATGTGACAGGAAAGCTGGATAGCCAAAGGTGCAACGTTGTCATAGATTCTGCATCTCAGCAAACCCTTGTGAGTATCAAGATGCTGGATTACAAAGAAGTACCAGAAGCCATACAGAAGCTTTGTGGTGTGACAGGACATTATGCAAGGTTGTGGGGACCAGTGTAGGTACATATTGAGCTCATGGGCATAAAGGACAGACACAAAGTATACTTGGCTGACATTGAAGACCAATGCACACTAGGGCTGGACTACTTACTACCGAGGAAGTGTGTAATTAATTTTGATAAAATGACGTTTGGGAACAACAAAGGCCGAATTCCGGTAAGTGTTAAAAGAGAGGCTGAACTAACTAGGTGCCATCAAGCTGAAGTCAAAGTGACTGAAGGAGTTGATGATGGTGAAGTGGAACCAGGTATAGATATTAAATC